TTATATATATATATATATATATATATATATATATATATATATATATATATATATATATATAGTACAATTTAACCCTTGCATTAGAAGACCCCTTTACGGAAAGAAAAATAAAATAAAAATAAAACAGGTATAACATATGACTAAAACAAAACAAATATATCACCATTAGACATACCATAGGAAGGCAGTCATCATGGAAACCTTAACCAAATGATAAGCTGTTTCAGAGTGCATTTACACTGTAGATTTAATACAATTCGACACTACTTTAACTGCAATGCTAAGGAATGCTGGGATATGTGGTTTGGTGATCACCAGCACTATGACAGAGAAGGCTAAAGATCCTGTAAAACTACAGCTCCCATTAGTCCATATCATTGAGCCACAGCAGTTAAAGTGGTGTCAAATTGCATTAATTCTACAGTATAAATGCACCCTTAACTTGACATCAAAAACAGATCAAACTGAGTGCCAGGAGAGCAAGAATATGCTATAGTTTGGATAACATGCCTCTGAAAATGACCTTTTCTTTGTAGCTAAGCTGGTTATCTGATTCTTCATGGTAGACATGCACTGATCAGGGTCTATTAATATACAGAAGCAGGCAGAATTGGCTCAACATGTGAAATGGTTGCTAATAGTTAAGGTCAACATTGACAAAATTATTTCATCTTTTCTCCTCTCTCTCTCTCTTTCTCCCTCCTCCTTTTCCTTTTTAACAAGAGGTTGTTTTATTCCCAATTCTCAGGACTCCTTGCCTCAGCTAGAGGGTAGGTTGTTGTGCCTTTTATCAAGGCTGATTCCCTCCTTTGCTCTTTTTGCTCAATAGATACCAGGCTGCCAAAACCCTCTAAATGCTTTCTAGACTTCTGGGAATTGAAATTAACTTCCCTGAGGTTCAGATTTCCTATGCCTTGAATCATCTGCTCCCATAACCCCAAATATAAGACTAAACCTTTAAAAGCATTAGTTGACCTATATTGTCGAAGGATTTCATGGCTGGAATCACTGGGTTGTTATAGGTTTTTTGGGCTATATGGCCATGTTCTAGAAGCATTCTCTCCTGACGTTTTGCCTGCTTCTATGGCAAGTAACCTCTGAGGATACTTGCCATAGATGTAGGAGAAACGTCAGGAAATAATGCTTCTAGAACATGGCCATATAGCCCAAAAAACGTACAACAACCTGTTTGTTGACCTCTTTACATCCTCTAAAACCCCAAAATGCTATGCCATCTCTCCCAGAGAAAGAGAGCTATTCGATTTCCCTATCTGTTAACCTCATTTCAAAAGCTGGTAATCTTAAACACAAACAAACAGAACCCCATCTTTGGAAAAAAAAATATGTCTACAATCTTGAAGTAATGGTACATTGTAAAAAATACAAATACGGGTAATTACTTCCTGAGAACCATAAGTAACAACAAAAATGAAACATCTGCATATAAGAGGAACTCTTTAAAACACACACAAGTCCAATGTCTTAATAGTATCTGTCTAAACAGCCATAACAACTTGGCAAGTTGGCTACCATTTATGGGTGAGGGACCTGCAGGAGTCTCGGCCATCAACAGGCCCTGCTCAGCTTAGCCTGTCTTGGGAGAAGCACGAATCCCTTCTGTTACTACACCTGGCCTTTTTGACTGTCTGGGCAGGGAAATGGCAGTAGTGGGCAGGGGCTAATGGCCCCCCGAGGCAGCATTGGTGCTTTACCTCTTTGTGGAATGACCCTTGACTTATCCATGAGTTGTATCAAAAACCATAATTTTGGCCCCAAAAGCTGCTCTTGGCATATACATGAGGACAGTTTATGTACAAGTATATACAGTATGTCTTTTTGAGGATTCAGTGGGGATAGATTGGCCCAAGGTCTCCTTGTATGGTTGCTCAATTCCTCTTTTCCCTCAGGCCTTGAATCTCCACAAAAAAACTATAAGAAATCTTTGGATTTTTTCTGATTTACTTTGTCTTCCCAGAATTCTCCATTCTTTCCCTCCCTCGAGGGATGATCTCTTTGCTTTTCAGCTCTTGTGGACACTGAAAATGGGGTTTGGCAAGGTGACTAGTCACAATATAAATTCAAAAGGTGTTTCTCATCCTATTTCATCTTTTTTTCATACTGTTCTGCCACATAGCTGATTCTCTATGCACAGAGCATAGGCCTTGCCATTACACTCTTATGTTATAGTATGGTATGAGCTGAAATTATAATAATACTATTTGGAAAATACACAGTGGTATTTTAGCATCTGATAGAAAACATACAATGGGAATTAGTATTTGCCAGCTAAGAGCTTATAAAATTTAATGTTGAAACCAGGTAAATTCACCACAACCTTGAGAAACAATCATGGTTGTATAGCCTCACAATTTAAAAGTACTTGTTTTTAATTTTACACTATCAAAGTTCAATTTCAAAATTGTTTTCAAATTCTGTTTTAATGTGAAAAAGTTGGTTTCAAAATCTTGCCTTCAAAAAGTGCTTGGGCAAATTGAAAAGTCTGGCAAATGTTGAATATTTACAAATATTCATTTCAGCTTTACTCAGAAAGCAAAGAAAGCACCAGAGCCTGTACCATTGGAAATTACAGGAAAATATGAGCTCAGCTGCCATCCTCATTTCAAAGTGATTAATGAGGCAGGAAATGAAAAGGAGAAATCTGGATAAGTTATGTCTGCTCAAGAGAATGAATTCCTCTGAAACTACAGAACAAACTGATATGCTGACCTCCAATAAATTACTCTGGGGGTTTTCAAACCAACTAGGGAAGTTTTGCTCTTTCTTGATGCAGTGTTTCAATGACACCAAGAAGGCACCTAATTGGGAGGTGCACAGTTGCTGTTTTGACTGAGAGCTGGAATGCCCTCAAGATAGATCTGAAAGAAGATACAGATTGAGTATACTTTAGTCAAAATGCTTGGAACCAGAAGAGAATTTTCCCCATATTTTGGAATACAGGCAGTCCCCGAGTTATAAACATACGACTCATAGTTAAGATCAGGGGTGAAGCAACAGGAAGTAAAAGAAATCAAACCCTAGGAAAGGAAATTCACTCCTGAAAGAGTTATCATGAGGAAAAAGTATCTCCATAGAAGCTTTCTCACCAATTCTTGTTTCCACAACAAGCCAAATTTTTCACAATCCAATTATTACAGAGACATGAAGTGAGGTGAAATCTTCTGAACAGGGACGCAGACAGCAAAATAACTACCACAGCAGTGTTAATCCTCCCCTATGATATCCAAAGCAAGAGAGAGAAAGAGAGAGAGAGAGTCGATCGATCGATCAATCGATATAGATAGATAGATGATAGATAGATAGACAGACAGACAGACAGACAGACAAATAGGTTTGGCAGGAGTTATACTTTAAAAATGTGCCTGTTCTGACTTACATACAAATTCACTTTAAGAACAAACCTACACAATTTGTCTTATTCATAATTTGGGGACTGTGTGTACTTGCACATAAATAATGAGATATCTTGAAAATGGGACCTAAGTCTAACCGCAAAATATAAATACAAATTTCATTTATGTTTCACATATATATAGCCTGAAGGGAATTTTATGCACATTCTTTTTAATAACTTTATGCACAAGTTTGTGCACACTGAACCATCAAGTAAAGGAGTTACTATTTCAGTCCATGTCAGCAATTTTGGATTTTAGAGTATTTTCAGTTTCAGAATTCTGGATAATGGGTACTCAATCTGTTTGGGGAAAGTAAGGATACTTTTAGGACTGGTCACACAAATGGTCAAAAAGGATTAAGGCAAACAATTTACTGCATGTACTCAAATCTAATTACCTACCCCAAATTAGGGTGAACATTAGATTAGTGTAATATGGTAACTTTTGCCAACCTAGCAATTCGAAAACATGCAAATGTGAGTAGATCAATAGGTACTGCTCCGGCGGGAAGGTAACAGTGCTCCATGCAGTCATGTCGGCCACATGACCCTGGAGGTGTCTACGGACAGCGCCAGCTCTTTGGCTTAGAAATGGAGATGAGCACCACACCCCAGAGTCGGACACGACTGGACTTCATGTCAGGGGAAAACCTTTACCTAATATGGTAATCTTGGTGCCAAATCAAAGCAAAAGGGAAAGCTGCTTCAGGAGCACAGAGTTCCCATTTGAGGAATGTTATCTCTAATTTAATTGCCATAGTTCAATGCTATGCAATGCTGGGATTTGTAGTTTGGAGAGGCATCAGCATTCTTTGGCAGCCCCCATGATCCCATAGAATTGAACCTGTTTCTTATTGTATGACAAGTACAACTGGACTTCAGATCTTATTTACCTCTGGGCAAAAAGAGTGCACCTTCATAAAACTAGAGTTGTATTAGCATATGTTATGGGTCTACAGACTGGCCCACTTGCCTTTTACTAAATAGATCAATCACAAACAGATGCCAGAATTTAGCCTTACATTGATATATGTATAATACTTCAGTCATGGGAATGTTTTCAATAGATCATTCTCTTCCACCCACCCCCTGACCTTCCCATGTATATGAGGAAGCCTGGACAACAAAAACTAGTTTTGTTAAGCCAGACATGGCTACAGAGCTCCATACAATTTGAAGCCCAATGCACAGAACTCTACCAAGTAGATATGACTTTTCCAATTCAGACCTTCCTAATGAATATGCAGCAGTCAAGAATGGGAAGGATAGGACTACAGTACACAGACCTGTTGCTTTCCACACTTACTGCTGAAAAAACAGCTGAAAGAGACTCTAAATGAGAAAACAAAGAGGCTTGGTCTGAGAGTATTATTCACTTGCGATGATCATCAGGTTGTGTGAGGTGCCACCATGTCAGAATGACAGTTTTTCCAGGAAATTCCCAGACTAATATGCTCCTAATGGCATACATTATATGCAAAGTAATTAATGCATTTATCCCAAACTTATGAAGTTCTCTCCCCAGCATTATTCTCTACCAGCACCATCATAAATCAGCAAGTGACCTGATCTCCTCTTCATGTTACAGACTCGAGTCACCCACCCGCTCTTTGGTGATGGAGGCTCCCAAGGGAGTTATCATTGATGCTGAGGCTGGCAACCTGGAAGCCACATGTAGGACAGAGCTCAAGCTGGTATCCAAAGATGGAGAGGTAAGTAGTACATGAAGTCAGCCTCAAAACTAAGAGCAAAAAGAGTTAAGATCTGGGCCCTATATGAAAGTCCATAATAAATAATAATAAAACTTTATTTATATACCGCTCTATCTCCCCCCGAGGAGACTCAGAGCAGTTCCCAGGTAACATCACAAAACATACAAAGTAAAACAACATAACCATAAGATTAACAAAACAATATAAGCATAAAAATTGTCTCCATAACACACATATATTAACAATAACCCTGCCTGTTTAAGGCAATTAAAAATTTACAAGGCCGGGCCAAGATTTGTGCAAGCCCAAAAATTCTAGGGGTCCCGGGAATTAAGTGCAATGCAACAATAATATTAGGTACGAGAATGTGGCTGTTCTTTGCGGGGCCGATTAGAGGAAGTGATCTGGGTAATTGGTAGGAAGAATAAGGCCGTATTCGGCAATGTGTAAGACTGAATTAGAACTGGTCATTTTCAAAGGCTTGTTGAAACCACCAGGTTTTCAAGTTCTTACGAAAGGAGGGGAGGGATGGGGCCTGCCTTATTTCCCTTGGAAGGGCGTTCCAGAGACGGGGGACCACCACCGAGAAGGCCCTCTCTCTCGTCCCCACCAACCATGCCATTTTGATGTATTGTTCTACAATGCCCATTATCTTTTAACAATCTAAAGATTAAAAATAGGACTATGTTCACTGAGCAATTCCATTTGTGTTACAGCTTTAATAAACAGCATGGAAGGTTTAGCAAGTATGTTAGAACTCTTTGTATGGGGGACAGAATTCGTTGTATGCAAACTACACTTCTTCCATACAAAGCAGCAAAATGATTCATTAGTTTTAAAGTGCTGGGATAATAGCATTGGTTGTGTGAAACAGATTTATGCAGCTGTAAAATGTGCAGTGCTACTAAATTCTCTTTTCTCTTGTCACTTTAAACTGAGATTTACTTGACCAGCATAATTAAATCTTATATCATCCATTTTTTGCAACGAGAAGAGTTTAACTCACCTGTATTGATCTGTACAGCAATCTGGAGATAAGGAATGTGGTCAAAGAACTATTTCAGGTTGCTGGAGATGCTTAAGAGTCTGAGGCAATATGTGAACTAGTTTCCACTGCCTTAAACATCTCACTCACTAAGTGCCTTCCCCTCTTTTGTAAACTCATTATTAGCTGCACTGTGATTTGAATCAAGCAATGGCTGCAATCCTGCTGGTTAGTTCCACATTACAGTAGATCCATTGAACATATTGTTGAGTGCCATTACCTTCCCACAGAAGTGGTACCTATGTATCTACTCATATTTGCATGTTTTCGAACTGCTAGGCTGGCAAGAGCTGACCTAACAGCAGGAGCTCACCCCACTCCTCAGATCAGAACTCTGCAGCTCGGTGGTTTAACGCACTGTGCCACCAGGGGACCCCACCTGCAGAGTGTATGTGTGTGTGATTATATATATATATATATATATATATATATATATATATATATATATAATATCACTATTGGAAAAAGAGTCAGCAATCCTTTCTAACCCTGTACTAGTCTCTCTATACATTCTTTTCCCTAATATGTGGTTAGGCACCATGTATGACCTATTGTCTACTAAATGAGGCATCCCACCTTCTTCCCCTCCTCATCTCACACTTAGGAGATGCTTGATTTGTAAACCCTCCTTGGGTTTTCTAGCCTACAATGCTGTGGTTCTTAATTACAGGATTGGAATACATTTGGTGACATGAGCAGAAGGTATAAAATCAATATAAACCTGTATGTGCATTTTCATTGGTCAAAGCACATGGTGGAGTTCAAGTCAATTGTTTAGGACAGGACTTCTTAAACTCTTTTAACTTTCAACTCCCTTTTGCCCAATAAATGTGTATGTGACCCCAGATATATAAGTATATAAAATAGTTATACAAATCAAACTTTTTTGAATATCAGATGGTTACATCTGTGATTGGAGGACCAATTGTACCATAGTAATAACCATTTGAGCATGACTAACTTCCAAGTACATAAAAATCAAACTCATTAAGTAAATTACAGTGGCCCTCAGTATCTGTTGGTGTTTGGTCCCAGGACCCACAGTGGATATCAAAACCATGTATGCTCAAATCCCATGATATACAAGGATATAGTAAAATGATGTCCCTTATATAAAGTGGCAAAGTCAAGATTTGAGATCTTGAGCTACAGATGGTTGAATCCATGGATACATAGGGGCCGTCCTATTGCAAGCCAAACTCTGTAATAAAATTAAGGTGCAAAATAAATAAATAAATAAATATTATTTCCTTCAAGCAACTGAGTGCAGTTGATGAGATGGAAGGGCAGTAAATGCCTGGAGAGGCTGGCACGGTTCAGTCTAACATAACTTCATTGCTTGTCCTCACCCCTTTTCCTCCTCTTCCTCCTCCATTACCTGACTGTGTTCTTGCACCCTCCTCCATGTGGCTGCCTGCCTCCCTGGGCCCTTTTCCCTTCCCTTCACAACTTGAGCTGGGCTTCTTTCTCCCCCCCCCCCCCACACACACCCTTTTGACCTCATCACATTAGCATTTCAAAGAATAGACAGTGTTTGTGCCTTTTCAATCCTCCTGCAGAATTCTGGGGTTTATAGTATTGGGGGGGAGGGCAGGACCTCTCTGGCTGAGAATTTCAAAGGCCCCTCCCTGAACTATAAACCCCAGAATTCTGCAGGATGCAGCCACAGGATTGAAAGTGGGTGCAAATGCTTTGCCTACTCTTTAAACCATTAATGTGATGATGTAAGGCTTCAGCTCCAACTTTTTCAGGAGGGGGGAGCCTTTTGCAACCCCAGTTAGGGTCAGATCCAACAGTTTAAGACCTCTGGTTTAGGGTAACCCCCTGTACTTTTGTGTTACTCTCCTGACATCAGAACAAACATACAGAGGCATTCAGTTGAAAGGGGACAATAGTGGATAGCCAGGCAGTGATTGGTTGTGCCTGGGTAGTCAACCACAAAATGACCACATTATCCTAGTTATCCCTCTTCATTACCTTGCAACCAAATGACTTTTTAGGAATTGTATCCCAGCATCAGTAAGGTAAAAAGTGCAGAGAGAGCAATTATTTACGTCTGGTAAAGATTTGCACTCCAAAGTATGATGCCTACGTTGGTGAAAGCTAGATGTACTTAGTGGCCAATGTTTACCTTTAAGCTATTCTTTCAAAGAAGAATGGCTCCATGTGAAGGTTGTGACTGTGCATGAAAAGTGTGAAGAATAGAAGGTTTGTCTGTGACCTATTGTCTAATTCTGTACGCAATACAGAAGTGCCCAAATGAACAAAATGAGACCACAGAAATAGATATCTCTATTGAACAATATGTATAAATGACTATTTCTCCTTGGTTCCAGTCATTTATTTATCACAGACCTGAATTTCACTGTGAGATTCCATTGAAAGTGTTAAAATCTGATGACCTCAGTAAACATTTCATTTATTTTCCCCCCTTTCTCTTCCCCTTCAGATAACGTTGGAGGCTGCAAATATCAAACTACCTAGATTGCCTCAGGGATCCTACTCCCCTTCCGGATCTGGGCAAAAAGCCTACGAGCTGTGTGTGTGTCCTAATGGAAGATTATTCCTGACTCAGGCAGGATCTACTTCCACCTGCCAGATAAAGACAAGTGTCTGCCTTTGAGAGAGACTCCTTGTGGCAGGCGGAGTTGGGGGCAACATGGCCCCTGCCTGGGTTCCCCAACTATTTTTACTAGAACACAGAGAGCCTATCAAAGACTTTTGTGTGTGGGTGTGTGTGTGTGTGCGTGTGTGTGGGTGTGAATATATAAATATATAGATATATATAGATATAAATATATATATATATATATATCCTTTGTGTAAAATGAGGTTTCGGTACAAGAAATCCCAGGGTGACCCTCTTTGTGTAGCATTCATTGCTTCAATATCAAAATTTGAAAGCTGTGCACAAATCTGGATCTGGGACCTTCCAAGCAGTGGCCGTGGGTGGCTCCCATGGGTTTTAATCTGAACATTAAAGGTGTAACCTACAATGCTTGAACCCTACCCCCCAAATACATTCAGTACCTTGGGTGGCTTCTTTATAGTTTAGACTAAAATATAAATTGGATTTCTCACCCCACCTACCCACCTCCACTGACATTGGAGAGAGAGCCCTGCTTCCAAAAGTATTCAATCTATGTCGAAGTCTCCATATATAAAGGTGTAATACTTTCAAGCCTCTCTAAATTTAGTTTAAGAAAACCATCACACATGACTCTGTGCTAATATGGGTATAAGGAGAAACAATGTAATGTAACGTGATGTGGTTGCACCCATCTTTATCTGCCAAACATACAGAAAACAGGGTCTGTAAAGTGTGGCCTTCTAGTGTGTCCATCTCAGATAGGTGTAACGTCTTCACATGATATAGTTTGCATATGTTTCCATAAGGTATAGTTTTCTCAATCTGTATACCTGACTAGGCATAATGGCATGTGTGAAGCATCCTTAAGCTGTAACCATCACAATAAAGGGCAACATAACTTGTAGCAATCCTTATCAGCTGACTTCTGAAGACTTCTGACTTCAGAGAAACAAAAAGGAACAAAGGCATCAAGGCTACATGGACAGTCTTCCATTGAATGGAGTTACTCAGAAATAAATAGTAATTGGAACTGTTAATTTCATCAACAATTGGATTAATTGGAAAGATAAACATTTTTTATAAGTCACCCTCTGATTCAAAGCCTCAAAAATGTTTAAAAAAATAATTGTTTTACCTATTGCTCTCCTTTCTTGAGATGGCTTGCCTTGCATTTGAGAGCCATGTAAATGTGATTCCCTGACGATTTGCTAGCTCATCAAAGCAAAGTGTAAACTGTCTGGTAAAAGATAGCATAATGAGACATGAATCTCTGATTCTTATTACACCAGGTAAGATGATCAGACTTCCTACTGCTTAGAATGATCCAAGACACCTATGGTTAAATTACATGTAGCTCATTTCTAATTAGAGACATATATCTCGAGAGACATCTTGTGTGTTACTATTCATATCCCTGAGCCTAATTTGGCTAGCTGGTGTCTCATTAAGTAACATAAAAGTCCTCATAAAAGTGTTATCTACTGAAAAGAGTTCAAGCTGAAAGCTGGATTTTCCGTGGCATCACGGCTGTTCTCTCAGCTCTGTTTGTGACCTCTGTGTATTCAGTGATAGTCTGAAAAGGACACTGACTACTCATAGAGGATTTTCCATTCATTTGAGAACTCCATTCAACCAAGGCACTTAATCAGCTAGAGGAACCCTCCCAAGTACATCTTCCACAGCCCATCTCCCCTTAAATGGCATGGATCTATCTTCATGATGATTGACATGCAAAGGGGCTAAAGACTGAATCAACATAAATAAAAGATTCAAGTTCTTTTTTTAAAAAAGTTTTAAAGTTCACTCAAGACCAAATCAATAAACATGTGAAGGTCAGCATAAAAATCCAAGGTCTATTCTCACACATTTGCTGAGATTTACTGTTCCCTCTAGATCACAAGTAGGAAAATAATTTCCCCATAAAAATAAGAAAATGATAAACGAAATAAACTTGGGCTGATTATCATGCCATGTCACCTATGTGAAACATGCTTTTTGGCGAGCATCATTACTGTCTGTAGTTCTAATGACCACAGAACCAGCATAGCTTGTGCATACTGGGTACAGTGAAATGCAAATTTGAATCCATCAAAACTAGACAAGTGAGGAAATATTTGTAGTATCATCAAAAGGCAATCTGGCTTTCCCCTCAAGATAAAATGTCTGCAAAAAAAGAATCAGCTCCCAACGATAGATGTTTGAGACACCCTTTGCTGTCAACTTTTGAGGCTTTCAGTTTCTAAAATGTCTTCTTTATTTCATTACAAAAGGAGAACAACTGTGTGGGGAAACATTTACTGGATTCTGGCATTGTGAAATTAAAAATATACAGTAATTCCTCTGCCATAATAGTCTATTAGGCCAGAAGGCCAGGATATAAATTTGAAAAAAGTAACTTCCCTACATAGAATGTTTCAAAGATTGTTGAGAACAGTCAATGCTAGTTGTAGACACGTCAAATATCACAGAAGCTTACTTTGAAACAAAATATTCTTATGGTTTGCATTCATTGTGAAATAATTGGTTCATTAAAATTAATGTAAGAGTTTCTTTTAAAACTAAGTCCAAGATAATATTCCCTACAGGAGCTGTTACGATGGGAGACCATGTTAGCCAAAGCAACAAAGAGTCTTGAGACACTTAAGGCTGCAAGTACGCTACAATGAATGTTGCCATAGAGCATTTTCTTACATTTCCCTACATAAATCATCTGTGAGATAGAAATAATCTCACAGATCTGATGTGTCTGAGAAGGGCACATCATTTTAACAATGGGTTCCATAAACGATTGCTAGCTGCTTTTTTGTTATCCATAAAGAACACAAAGAATAATATGAGACCTAATCACCCCTCAGCTTTATTGAAAATAAATGGATAATGACAGGTTTAGCAACTTCAAAACATAATTTGATGTATTCTTTTCAAGCCATTTTCTTTGATTTCTGGTGGACTAGAGAGCACCAAGAACCTGTCTGACAAGATTGTCAGTGTCAACTTGAAAAGCACCCCCATTGGTTTCAATGGAGTTTGGATTAAGCCATTTTTAAATATCGTACCTTGGTGCTTTAGCTTGATGGTAAAGAAAGGTTGAAGACACCAATGAAGTGCACTTTTGGTGGACAGTAAATGAGCAGATCCACATTTCATTTTATAGTATAGTCCTATGTGTATTTACTCAGAAGTAAGATTCAGTGTGTTCAGTGGCGCTTACGTTTAGGTAAATACATTTAAGATTTCAGCCTTAGTGACACTGTTAGGACTTTAAAGCATTTTGCAAGTTGAATGGCTGCTGTCACCACTTAATTTTCAAGCTGACACTTTGATGCAAGGGGGTCACCCAGGATAATAATTGTATTGGGACACAGGACTATTCACCATCTCTGTTCAAAGAGGGAGACGTGCCTTTGCCTTAAGTCAATGCACTCAGCAAGGAGAAGCACATCATATTTATCTCTTTATTAAGTTCATTTATTTGGAGTGTTGGACTGAAGATTGGAGAGAATGGTGGTTGCCGTGTTTGAGAGTTGAGTGATGGCTTGTGAAGTAGACTCACTGGAACTTCACAAAGACTGCGGGGCATCTGGAACAAGTGGAAATCTCTGTCATGTTTTGGCCGGTGCATTGAAATTTTCAGCTCATCCTGGAGATCCAGCTTCAGAGCTTCAGAAATGTTTGTATACTGTGATGACATTTTGTTTCTTTTTCATTTCATATTGAACATTGATCACATACAAGGGCCATTTCATTAGAGAATATTTGTCAGCCTGCACAAGATGATAAACAAGTTGGACACTGCAAAGAAAATATACATATTGCAATGTAACAGAGTGGTTTGATCATTTCTCCCCCTATTAATTTTACTGATAATGAAAGAGGACATTGAAATGAGTTTCCTTTAGAGGAACCATTGCAGTACATACCATTGATGTGTGTGTATGTGTGTTTGTAACATAATGGCTTCTCTTTTTGTTAGCTCAGCTTTTGTGTTAATCTGGTTCCTGATCTTCAAAGATACATATCTAGTTATTAACTATATTACCTGAAATCAAAGGATTACGTGCTTAGAAAGAAAATGAAGTGTTGAAAAGTTGCTTCACAGTGGTCTTCAATTATTCTTTAATGAACTTGCTTAGTTACTCTTCTAGTATGGGAGATCTTTACAACCTACCAACTGCAGATCTCATTCTTCTCACCAGAAAAGGTTACTATTATTTAAACTCTTCTTAAATCCTTTTGCCAGATGCACTTGTCCTTAATATTACCCAAAATTCATATAGAAAAATCAATTGTTTGAAGCTTGTCAAACTACAAGCTGTTGAAAAACTTTTCCCCTTTCTTGTCTTCTGACAAAAGTAAAATATTACAGTTATAGGCTACTGAAAGTTTTAGTTTAGAGCTTAGGCAATTTTTGAGCTTCTGTTGGCTATGGGAATTTTATTGATAATTCTCCCAACATTGTCAAGAGCAATAGCAAAAAGCTCCATACATGTCAAAATAATATCCTATATTTTAGACACTTTTGTGCATGCGCAGTCCTATGGTTTCTAAAAAATCCTGGTCATTCAGAGGCAATATTCCATTGTAGGAAGTGTCCGCTTCATAATTTCAAAATAATCTCCATGTTTCACCACTCCAGTATTAGTGTCAGCACTGGAAGGTGGGAAAGAGAACAGGACCTTGGTATAGACAAAGCAAGAGCAGCTCTAAATTTGCAGAATGCAATGCCTTCCATCTCCTAGTCCACGGCCACATCTCCAACACAAAGGAATATTTAAATTAGTTCTTGATCTAGGCTGTATTATGTTTCTTCAAGAACCCAAATTGCAAAATATTGTAACATAATAAGATTGCACTGTTGGTCATCTTTTCAAGGAAACATATATGACTTCTGTAAAGTTGTACCTCCATATCCTCTTGGAAATGTAGAGTCTAACTGAAGCAGTTTCCTATTTGTGGTCTATATTGTCTTTACTTATGTTAAACAAAATCCTAACAAAAGTACGATATGCCATTTTTAGAATATTAAGTTGTACAGGTCAGAATTTCAGAGGGAACCTCTGCTGGTAGAAAAATAGATTCCAATACAACTGAGAAGGTTAGTGTGGGGAGTGGGTAACATGACAATTAAGATCCAGTATGGTGTAGTGATTTGAGTATTGGACTAGGGACCTCTTCACACAGCCCTTTCAGGCTGTGCCATTGCACTACTAAAGGGAAGGCGCACGGGGCGGTGCCCCTTGTGCCCTTCCTCCTCCCTCATCTCATGGTAGGGATGGGAGAGGATGCATTGGAACCCTCCCCCCCCCCCTATCAGTTGGCAGAAAGGGCGACAATGTGTGGCAAAATGCATTGCCCTGCCACCCTTTCTGCCATCACATGGCAGAAAGGGGAGGAAAGTGTAGGTAGTAGCTCTGTTGGAGTTATCCAAACAACACTTTCCTCCCCTTAGTAGAAGAGAACTTTAGGAGGAGTTTGGGTGAGGCCTGCAGTGGCCTTATCCAAGCCATGCATAAAGACAGCCAAATGGGGCAAAAATGCTTTGTGTGAAGAGGTCCTATGACACCAGGAAATCAGGGTTCAAATCCCCACTCAGTCATGGAAACCCACTGGATGATATTGAGCAAGTCACATTCTTGGCCTAATAGGAAGTCAAGGGGATACTCTCTTGGAACAAATTCTGCAAAGAAAATCCCCATAAGAGATGTGAGAGTTGCCATAAATCAGAAATAATCTGAAGGCACATAACAAGAACAACAATGAATATTCTCCTTTCTTTCTCCAGAATGGCTCTCTAAAAGGCAGGGTCTGGAAGGGAAAGAAAAGAAGAGTCAAGATTAAAAAATGCTGCGAACAGAATCTTGGATTTATTCCACTGAATCAGAATCACAAATAAGCATTCATAAAATATATAGGGATGAATTATTAGTAAGTAACTTGGTTTGCTTTTTTTTTTTGTTTAAAAGGGATCACATGTATTTTGAAAGTGTTCATCATTTTGCACATCCTGCATTTTGATCAGTCACATATGTACTTCTGTATAAAGAGGGGGAGATAATTTATAACAGTTTATTGTAAAAACAGTATTATATACTGGCAACTGAGACCCATATCTTTTATGAATGCATTAAAAATAGGGTAATCAGATATAATAATGGCTTCATGTTCTATCCTTTTTTTCTTGTAAGAAACAGTTCATGAATGATTGTATTTTAAAAGGACGTGTTTAGCCTATGAAGAAATTGCAATTCCCCCCATTTAATTAAGAAAATGTGCTCTTTTTCTGTTTATTTTAAAAACTGTGCATGTTCCTTTTTGTCATTTAATGAACATCATGTGCTCTATGCTCTAGTCTGCAGCAGACTTAATTCATATTTTTCCTTGATTTCATTACTTTCACTGCATATGTTGTTTGTGCACTCTCTGCTTAGATCCAGTAACACCTATTGTTCAGCTTTGTTCCACACTGGGATTTCTCCCAGATGGCAATTTATTTCTAGTTGCCAAGGGGAAGCAAAGGTGGATGCTGAGCCCGTTCATGCTTAAGACAATGTAAGAAATGTTAGAAGAATAAATACCTCCAGAAGGCATCCTAAGGATTTTTTTCTCTCTCAAAATTTAGGACCTATTTTTGGCCTGAGCTTTACCAGTTCAAGTCAATGGACATTTTGTCAAGAGCTTTCAAGCAGCTGAAGCATCACACTTCTTGGAATAAGATACTGTAGCTTCTTTCTGAAATACTTAGGTTGTTTGACAAAACTTAAGTCCCCATGAATGGTATGGTTAAGCAGAAATGTTTCCAATTATTGTGACATTTAGCATTATAGGTCTTTCAGAAGATGCTAGAATTGTTTTTACACCTAGGATATATTGAGGAAAACTGTTGTTATTCATTGCCTGTATACAAGTAACATGTGAAAACTTATTGAAAACATTTTTTTTTACTTGGTTTGATTCAGCAGTCAGCAAAATAATTAGGTCAACCATTTAGAGGTGAAGTTGGCATTGTTGAATGGTTCATAAAGAGACAATAAGTCAAGATCCTGCACCAGGAGACATAGCAATGACAATGGATCTTCTGGAGAGACCTCTAAACCTCACCTTAGCAGATGTCAGACAGCACCACCAACATAGGATTTTCTGAGACACTGGGGAGCAGGGTGATGAATGGGACTATGGGTCCTCTCACACCTGCTTTTTGGGAAGCATCTGATTGTCAGGAGAGGATTGGGCACATCTTTATTCATCACCCTGCTCCCCAACATCCCAGAAATCCCTATAATGGCTGTGATGTCTGGTTCTAAAATAGGTTTCAGGTGGCATTTTGAATCACAATTATAAACATGGTTTCAAAAAGTTACAAGATCATAAATCTGGCTTACAATATTTAAAATACTAAAGTTGATGCAGCCACCAGTTTTTAAGGCCATGTAAGTAATGGTTTTATGTAGTTGGGCTTGTGCACAACTGAGATCTCAATGTGTTGCTTCTTCACTTGTTAAGAAAATGGTGGACAATATGAATACATCTCTAAGAAATCTGGGTCTGCCTAAGCCTGCAGTCTTGTACAGTAAACACCTAGTTTGATTTAGGCCAACAAATTCTATCTGGCCTACTTCTTAGTAGACATGGAAATCTCACTGATTTCAAAAAGCTAGCTGCACCTTTTTTAAAAGTTGTGCTAACGATAAGGCCTTTTTTATCCCCATGCTGTGAATACAGTTTGCATTCAAAATTAGTTTCATATGCGCAAGATCATAAACTTGTGGTTTGCTTGCATGAAAATAATGATCCAACATGCCACTTTTAATGTAATGCCTTTAACATGCCCTCTGATTGTCAGAATCACAACTATCACAACATGCCCTCTGATTGACAGAATCACAACTTTTGGCTTTATGTGTGGCAGTAGCAGCTAGAGTCCATGTCAGAGTGGTGAATTCATTTTAGGTTTAGACTCAGCTTTCAAGGAGCTATACAAAGAGCTGAATTTTACTCTCAAAACATCGCATGCTGGTTTGCTTCTTTAAAATTCTGATTGTAACATAGAGCAATTTTTATTTCCACCAAATGGCACTCACTATCCCCTATAGATAGGGAAAGAGAAGCTTGAGTAACCATTGACATCAGCAATTAGCTTTCTGATTATAGTATATTTTGATTAACAGAGGGCATAAAACTGCAAGGAAAATGTCTACTAAGAATATACCCATGCTCCTTTTCTTTCTAAACACAAATCAAGATATTTCATCTGTACTGTTGCACTCCAGAACAGGAAAAGCCCTCTGATTTTAAGCACCACACCGTTGAGTATGGAAAGCAATCCTTTTATTGAAGATAATTAAAAAGCAGTAAAGTAAAAAAGCACTTTAAAGAAATAGGTAAATCCAATTAGGTAAGAAGATAAGCAGGAACAAAGTAGTCCAGGGAAAATAGTCCAGCAAAGTCCATAAAAAAAGTCAAAACTTCCCAAACAAAATGCAAGAAATCGGGAAACATGAATCCAAGGCATGAATATAAAATCATAGACTCCAAAAATCAAAACCATGAAACAAAAGGCACTTAAACATGAATTTTCCAAGCAGAGCTTCCATGAAACAAGGATAAGATCTTGACTTGATTCCAAATGATGCTTCATCTGGTTACACATCCTGTACTTGGGACTTCTTTCTCCTTGTTAGCTATGTCTCTAGCACAAAGAAATTGGTTTCACTTTAGCTGAGAGTCTCTTATCTTTTTTTCTCGGGGCCTGGCAGAACGCCAAAGCCACTGGTCGGCTTTTCTGTTTTGACTAATCTCCTCCCATCTATCTATTTGTTCATTAATTTCTGCACTTAGTGCTGAGGTGTTTTCAAGCTCCAAATCATGGGAACTCTCTGGTAGCAATTCAGGGAGCACACCATCATCCCCACACCCATCAGGGACATTCTCACGGCAAACTACATTTTGAACAGGGATCTCTTAGTCATTCTCTGCATCAATGTCATTAATCAAACCATTGCCATCTTGAAACTCATTGACATCACTCCCCACATCCAAAGCACCCTGATCCTGAAACACAATCACAGGCTGAGTTCCAACATATGTATGCATTTACTGTTTTAATATCTCCTTTCTTCCATATTAGTTCCATGTGCCATGATTTAAATAGGTGTGATTTGTCATGGGAGAGTTTGCTTCAGCATATCTCCATATCTCCAAGAATCAAGAATGGATCAAAATTCAGTTGTTCCAAGCAGAGTTGGTCCATAGAATTTATGAAATTAACCTGTGATTTATCACATTTCCATTGACTCGAGGAGTATATTATAGTTGTAACAATTAGATTTAGATTTGTGTGTCTTTATGGATTGGTTTGATGTATGTTACACTTTTTTTCCCTTTCATTGACTCTTACTATGGTAAACTTCATGCTCCTTATAAACATCCCCCTGTAATCCTTCTCCTCCTTGAATGCCAGAACTTGTAAGTGAAATTGATGTGTGTGTCTATTGATAATTTCTTCTTGTGGATTTAAGTTTCCCTTTTAAAATAGCAGTAGGGGGAAGTCTCACGCCAGAGCACAAATTTAACATATTTAACTTCATTGTGAGCTGGCAGTTCAGTCACAGAGTTCACAGTGTTAAAGCATGCTGGAAACAGGCTGTGACTTATCTTCCTAATGAAGTAAAGAACAGTGTCATATATTTAGGGATGTATAAAAGACCCACCACCCCCCTCCCAAAAAAAGCCTTGGAAATTTGAAAGAAGAAATGTAGCTCTCAAGAGACTTGTTAAAACATTTCTGAGCAAGAAGAAATTCAATGTTGTCAGCAAGTTCACAGTTTCCCTGTGATAAGTGAGGAACTCCATGACTCTGTTGCTGAGGGAGGACCACCAAAGCCACTTTCATCAACTGTCTAAGGCAGACACAAAAAGATTGGAGTTATTGCATTACAGTG